TTGAATGTTTTTCATTCTTTGAAGTTTGGTAGTGTTTGAAATCCACGTAATAGGGAATGTCTCATATTCCTTTTTAGTAGCTTGTTTTTGACAACAATTTTTAAAACGGGGATCTCATTTGACAGTATCATAAAGATGGCTGTGACTGTAAGATGCCAAGTTCTGACATGGAATAAGTTCGCTGTCAGTATAGATTTGATAACATTTTGATTAATTTATTCGATATTGACAGAATTATCCTGGACCAGGTATCACACGTCTGTGCCAGCTCTTTACTGTTCATTGACTGTTGTTCCACAGTCAACATACCATGTGCTTGGGATAATTTGACAGGAGTGAGATGATGTGCTTGAACTGGGCAAAGCTTTTGCACACATGCACATGTCTTATGGTAACAATTGTGGAACTGTGGCCTAATCCTTTTGTCCTTAATATTTTAGAACTAAAATCAAGGAATACATAAAAAGCAGTATTTTTTTTGCCTGCCATGCAACACTTTATGACACTATATGCTTTCCTCTTGAAAATGTCATCTAAGACTTAAGTTGTAAGGCTCTTTTAAATATACCTTTGTGTAGAAGACATCTAGGCAGATAGGATTTTTATGTTCTAATTTGAGAAAGTATATATACCTCTCTGACAATACATGCCTTGGTCTCTGAATTGCTCCTTCATACACAGAGATCATTTAACCAAAAGTAGGTTAAATATAGATGTTCTTTATAATTTTAATTTTTCTGCCTTTTGTTTGGTTTAAGGATACTATTAGAGTCTTCACTAGTGAAATTGGGCTTGAGATGACCTTACAGGACTTCTTGTGAAATATACCTGTGGTAGAAACATGTGGTCCCTGCATTACGTATGAAATGCATTGTGAAACATGAAGTGATGATAAAATCTTACTCCTGAGTTATAATCAACCCTACCTGCCCTCAGGGAGTAGTAGGGGGAAAAAAGGTACTAAAATACTATAGTTTATATTTTAATGGCCTTGTGCACAGCATTGTCAATCTTGCTACAATTACAAAATATAGGTTTGTGTAGAATAATTTAGAAATTAGGCTATGCTGTTGTAATGGCAAAACCAGATTGTACTTCAGGATTTTTTCTATAATTTAAAAATAAAACTCATGAAAGCATAAATATTTTCTATAGTAGATTCAAGGCTATCTAGCTCACATTTAGAAATAATCCCGTGAAACTTTGATACTTCTGTTTCTCTAAAAGTTAAGTCCTAAGTGCAGCACTAAATTACCTCCCTATCTTCTGTTTAGGGGAAGAAAATGACTAGCAGTGTAAACAGTTTCAGTGAAAGTTTGAAACTCTTATGTTTGTGTATTGGTCGTATTTGCTTTCCAGCATAAGAAACTGGCCACCTATGACCATCTACAGTTAAAAGTTTTTTAAATGATACGGAGATGTTTCAAGGTAGTCTTTGAGAAAACCTTATTATCCTCCTTTCTAAAAAAATCTGGACTCTTACACTTTTCTCCATTTATATAATATTTAACAAAGAGCCAGTGATGGTACAGAGACTTTGTTTTCCTGTCTACATTTTACTGCTTTAATCTGCAAGAGTTGTAGCCCATTCCCCCTGCAGTAGTTCCTTCATTTATACTGCAGGTTCTTGCTTGTCACTTTTTGTCCCTAAAAATCAGCACTTAAAATCATTACTCCTTTCATGAAAGCTTATGAAATTGGGATCACTTCAGCAAAATCTTGTTCAGCTTGAATATTTTTCCTAGAGCCTGTAGGATTGGTGTAAAATATGAAAGAATATGTGCAAGTTGACAGAAGTTTTCTAGCTTTCCTGGAGCTGGGTACTGGGAGGCTGTTTCAGTGGTAGAGCCTGTTGGAAGGGTGTGATAGGGTCTTGCTCTCATAGTCGGGTTGGTTAAAAAGTCAAGATGAGTATTTGTCCTTTTTAAATTTCAAAAATACTTCTCTGGTAACTTCAGTGATTGATGTGCATAGAAACCTGAAATTCCTTGGAACTCACTGCTGAAACTAGTCTGGTTTGATCTTCGAGAAGAAAGAAATGAGAGCATATCAATGACTAATGTAAAAGATTGCAGTGTGTTACTATATTGGTGTCTGCGCCAGGGTAAAGAACAGAATCCCTGCCTTGAGGAGCTCTTGGACTAAAGATATGAATTTGGTACAGAACTGGGCAAGGTATTACATCAACGTAGACTTTGCGTGCCTTAAAAGAACTATAGCAAGGTAGTGAGAATGAAGGTACAACCGTAATTTAACTTTGAGCATTCAGTTGCTCTGTCCATTCCAGGGTTTTGTGATGTTTGTATGAATATTCACTATGGATACTTGCATAATTCTCTTAGTTGTAACATGGCCTTAGAAAGTTGCAGTGATGTTCACAGGAGATACGGATCCTCTTGCTTGCCGGTCGCTTTGCTTTAAACAGTCTGCTCTTGAACTGACCTTTTTATGTAAATCTTCCAGTTAATGGCACAAAATCCACCTGGAATTGCTACCATGGTTGGAAGGCAGGAAGAACCATTGAAGAGTGCCAGGTGCTTAGCTGGGCACACTTTTAGCAGGACAAGCTTGTAGTAAGTCTGGGTTTTAAGCGATCTGGGACTCCTGCATACATTTTTCATGCTTCCTCAGCAGAATGTCTTTGTAGTTGGGAACTGTGTACTTTATACAGAATTGCACATGTGATTATACACAACATAGTGACAGTCTTTTTGGTGCTTCCTGTAGAGAAGCGAAAGCGCAGCACATTTAATTGGAGATATGTTAGGCACAAAAGATGGGATTATTTAAAAACAAAGGAAAGAGAGAAGGAGATGGCCAGGAGCCCATTAAGTGTCTCAAGTGAAGAGAAGACACAAAAATTTGAGTTGCTTATTTGTTAAGTTCCTTAAAATGAAAGACAATAAAAGCAGTGGGTTTTTGCAAAAGATCATTGTCTTTCTGTATTGCTTTATTTCTTACATAGAAAGGAGTGTTGTAGGGACGGCTGAGGTGATAAAATAATTGAAGCAGCTGCTAATTTTTAAATTTTAAATTTCAAACTTTTTATCAGAAAAATATCTCTGCATAGGTTATAAATAAGCAGTTGAACGAGTTGCATAAACACTTCGTATTTTTTAGGTTTTGTAACATAATTCTTGCTCAAATAACTTGTGAGATTAGTAAATCTGTCTTAGACCCTTTATGCAATTATATGAAATGTTGGAGAAATGGGGAAAGGGAAAATAGATTTGAGAAATCCAAATCAATGTTATAGTTGTCTCACGTCTCAGCAGGGGATAGGCAAGCATCCTGATCTTCAGAATTAACTCTTTTTCTCTGGTTGGCAACAGTTACCTTAAGGCTTCATTTGTATTGCAGCTTAGCTAGGGTACTCCCATAGCAAAGATTTCTCTTCGTATGAAATTATGAAAGCCAGAGGCAGAATTGGTAAATCACGGTTAGCTGTCTTCCTGGCCTGCCAAAAGGGCATTCTTTAGTTTCAGTGTTGTGTATTACATTGTGTGAAGTCAATGGCATGTGATGAACTCTGAATTCAATGAGCAGAGAAAGTTTGTATCTGTGCCGCGCTGGCGTAGTTTATAAACTGTGGCTCCTGAGAAATGTTTTGAAATGTCAAATGTTGGTGTTTTGTGGGTTAGCTGAAGCAAATGCAGAAAATAAGAAGCAAATTAAGAAGGAAAGAAACAAATCTTAGTATTTGGTTCTCAAAACCGCTTCAGTAGTATTTGGCACTAGAAATACTTCATAGCTGGTGGCTGAGCTTTTTTTGTTGTTTTCCGTACAGGTAAAGGAGAAAAATGCTATTGCCTTGAGTGACACAGGTGGCAAAGCAGTGAGGAGTCTGCTGACCTAAATTGTGGTCACAAATCCGCAGTGGGAATCGTATCTGTGCTGCATGCTTTGTTGCCAAGAATGGGTGTACCAAGTGAAGGAGTGTGTGTGGTTTTGTTAGTAATTTAGAAACCACAAGCAAGATTTTTATGGCTTTATAGGCAGAGCTGTTTTTGAAAGTGCTTGATGTTTTCCAAAACATGCAAAGGCTTCTGAGCTTTGTCAGAAATGCAGTAAGATTGTTGATTGCTTTCTGTGAAAGACGAGTTCCTTTAAACTTTCTACTTTGAGGACTGCATGAGAATCTTGGGATTACCAAGATTACCATGGAAAAATTATACTAGTAAAGGCTTTCAGCCTTTACAATTCTCCCATAAAGCCAGTACCTGTGTGAATGCTCCAGAGTATGCTCCAGTCTGAAGACTAGGGCTTTGTTATTATGTATTGTTGGTGTTCGTTGTGTGACATCTCTATCAGCAAAAGATCAGAGAAGTAAAATGATCTTACAGATGTTAAATAATCATGAATTAAAGTGGATTGATATAATTTTTATTTTGAAAGAGGAAACAACTCCTGTTCTGTTGTGGTTTACAAATATTTAAATGCTTAAACTAATTGTCAGCCTCAATTTTGAATGAGGAAGCAAAATAAAATGTATGATGTGCTCAGAGTTTCTCATAGTACTTGCCAGGAGAAACCAAGTTTTGAAAACAGTTGGCCTGCTTTCAGACACAGATTTTAATGAGATTAAAAGAGAAAGAATGTGCAAGCTTGATTAGAAAGTTTGGCTGTATTCTGACAATGGGTCCTGGAAGCCAGGACAGAGAAATGTTGTATTTTTTAGTGGTAGAATTGATTTGTTTTGGAAAATGAAAAGTAGGAAGCAGTGGGTAGCTGTTGAATAACGACAGCGAAGTGTACTAAGTTAGTAGGAGAGTTCTGTACTGTTACACACAGACTGCAGGAGGTCTGAAAGGCGGTTTTAGTGGTCCAGACGTTTTCTCCTTGACTTTTAAGTTTTTCAGCTGGTTATTTGCCAGTAATAATTTAACCAAGGATTTTGTGGGTTGTGCAAAGCTTTTATAGCAACCTAATTTCAAACACAATAGTCTCTGCTTTCCTTGGGTTAGAGCTGTTCCTACAGTTCAGATGATTAGTGTTAGAGCATGCTTGAACTTGGCAAGGTAGAGAGCACGGTGCGTTGCAGAATGTGTCAGAAGACCTGGCGCATGAGAAAAGATCCATTTACTTACAGGCATACACCCAGCAGCGGATTAAGGAATAGGTTTGAAAGTAAATGTGCAAATTAAGAACTAAAATTGTTTTCAAAAAGTCTCTTTCAGTGTCCAGATATACTTTGTCAGCCTCGTATCAACACGTTTTATCAAGAAGTAACAGAGGTGGTGCAAGGAAGGCATGGTATTGTGGGCGGTGGGGGAGGTCAGCTTGTGAACGCCATTTTAAATGACCTGGAGTATGAAAAGGCTTGAGAATCACTGAGTTAGTATAAAGGCGATTAAAACAAGGTCTTTTGGTCCTTATAACAATGTTTGAAAGGCTGTTTTCTTTCTCATTTAACATGCAGCAAGGACATATGGGAGAAGGCGAGGTAACAATATTCCTATTTAATTTTCTAATGTTGACAATGTCTCATGGGAGAAATAACATTAAGTTGTTCCTAGAGGGCAAACTCCAAAATTTAAGATTATAAAGCATCAGTTTCACATAAGTTTACATAGTCTGCATGCCATAAATAACCATTTTAACTGAATTAGGTAGCGCTCCACAGCAGTACTATTCAGGCTGAAATGATCACAGTCCTTACAGTGGACATCATCTATATGATTTGTTACACTGGAGGGCTGCGTTGCTGTGCTTGTGTGTATGTTATGAATGCCAATGCTGGAGAAGTTTATTTTGGTTCTTTGAGTGCTGATGGTTTTCTTGACGCAGCATAGACTATAGTGAATGTACGTCCTGGCCTGCTAGGTTAAAGAACCAGATCCTGCAAGCATGCACATTGAGTTATCTAACAGCAGTGGTCATGCTGATGAACCTGAAAAGGTTGTTTAGGTATGGAGAACTGCTCCCTTCCAACAATACCTGCAGGATTGGGGTCTTAAGAGATGAAACAAATGACATGTACATCAGTTCATTAGCGGAAAACAAAATGACATTTAAGTCTATATTACAATATTTTTATCATAGTAGGAACCAGGTTTGCCTAGCTACAGAAATAGACCTGATTATAGTTGACTTTTAATTAAAGGTCTACAAAGATTCGTGAAACTTCAAATAAAGCAAGTTGTCCGAGCCTTACATTTTGTATTTGTGTAAATTCTATGGACTGTGGATTTTATCGTATTTTTTTCTTTCAACTTGTTAGCTGTTTGATTTTTGCATGGAAAATGTCTGCACATTGGAACTGGTCAAATTCTCTCTTTTCAAGATGTTTTCTTTTTTAAAATCAATTTATTTCAAAGTAAGGAAGCAAGAGCAGGATAAATTAACCTTATCAATACATTACTGTGGTAGATTGTAATGAATTCTGAAAAAGCAGACGTAGTATATCGCATCATAGGCAAAAGGAAATGTATCCTAAACTTGTAGCAGAAGTCATTTATTTGCTTACTTTCCCTATATATATTTATTTATTCCTAAAATGCTCCTTAAATGGGTAGAATTCTATTGAGTTTGTTGTCTAGAGATGGAGTACTGTAACTAAAGGGTGAATTCATGGAAGAGATCAGCTTGTGTGCTCTATTTATTATATTACACAGTTGCATTTATAAATCAAAGAATCTTATTTAGAAGTAATAAATATTATTAAGGAAATCTATGATAAAGATTATCATAGAAGTATACTGGGGTGTGAGGGGAAGCATGCTTACAACATTTTCTCTTAGAGTGAGTCCATTAACGAAACTCTGTTGTAACACCTAAGTAAACTTGCTTCTAGGAATGACACAGTATTGCCTAGTTTTCAGTCGTTGTTTGCAGTAAATTACAGTGAGTCTTCCTGTTTTTATCAGGATACTTTTGTTATTTACAAGTAGGTGGTTTATGATACGGCTTTTTATCAGGTAATTTAAATGTGTAATATACTTAGCTGGTAGAATTCTTGTTTTCCCACTTGCACCACGAAATTGTGTCTACTCATTCTAAGAAACTGTTCTCTGGAAAATAATATGTATGGCTTAAAGGGTTTTAGTGATGTCTGCTATTGGGAAAGTCCCAGAAAAAAAATTGGCTTATATTTTCTTCCAGTTTTACACCTTTTTAAAAGAAATGTAATGGGAAACACGAAAAACTATGGAGAATGGTCAACTTTCTAATGGCATCCATTAGAAATACTGTTTTGTTGCAAATCTTCATTAGTTGTAGTGCAGTTATGAAGAAGGTAGCAACGTTTCCTCTGAAATAATGAACTTGAGTTACTGAATGATACTGAAAACTATTAGGTTCATATGAAATTGAGAACATAACTGCTTATTAAAAGGGAAGATTGCAAACAGTTCTGCTGCTAATGCAGCAACTAGTGCATTTTTTAAAAATTACTGAAACAGTGTGTGCTTTGTTCTGTTAGTATGTTTTTTTCCTTCTTTTTTTTTTTAACCCCCTCTTCAGGTCAGTCTTCACTGTTTCCAATGGAAGACGGGTTCTTGGATGATGGACGTGGTGATCAGACTCTTCACAGTGGTTTAGGATCACCTCACTGCTTCTCCCATCAGAATGGAGAAAGAGTGGAACGGTATTCCCGTAAGGTCTTCGTCGGGGGACTGCCACCAGATATTGATGAAGGTACACCCAGAAAATCTTATCCAGAAAACCTCCTTCTGGCTTAATGACAAAACTGTGCTGTGAAACCTTTTGTCTGTTAGCTCGTGAATGATTGTGTTCCGAACTCTGCAGAAAGGCTTTGATGCGTAAATGGATCTTTGCATTTTATCACTTTCAGTCCATGGCAAACATGAGATAGATAATTCAAGCTAGTTTAGGCTATAGCATTATTCTGCTGTTGAATAACAACATCGTATGTTACCACACATTGAACTGGCTAAAAACATTTAACAGTATAACAATTACAAAAAAGGGATAATGGTGCAAAAATAAACAAGTAAGTGTTGCCTGTTGAAACTCATAAATACATTGCAATTGTATTATAGGCACCAGAAGCCAGTAGTAGAAAAAGTATTGCTGGTAGTTGTATAAAGTTTGTATAGTATAGTAAGTCATAGATCTTTATTTGGATGCTTATGTGTAGTTCTCACGTGTTGTTTCCAGCAATGATTATGTCCTGTGGTAGCTTCTAATGTGAAACATGATCTTATAGTCTCTCTTTCTTTGTTGTTGTTGGTGTTTTGTTTGGTTTTTTTAACTTCCTCACCTTTGTGATTTTAAAAGCGGATGAGCACATGAATAGTTTGATCTCTGTGGACCGTAGTTACTGAAGAATAGGACCTTTCCCAAACCTGTGCTAGGAGGGTAGCTTGAATTCTTCAGAGTTACTTCTGTCAGCACTCTTCCTGTTAAAAGCACAAGTGTGAATTAGAATAAGGAGTATATGATTTAAAATCTACCATCACAGCTGAATTTTTGAGGTTTTTCTGATCCTGTTTCTAGAAAGCATTTTGTGTATGTACTTTAACATGAAATTTGTGGTAAGTGCTGTTCTGAATGGACATATATATTTTAAGATATATATTTTAGATATGGAATCAATATTGTTCTCCTTGGTTTATATCTTCATCAGTATGCAACGTTGACACATGATCATTGCTATATATGTTCCTGATGATCTGTAGTGCACAGCGAAGCTGTCAGTACAGTGGATTGTCAATTGCTATTTCAATAGAAATGTCATCGAAGAGTGTAAACAAACTGAAAAACATCATTAGTAACACCTTTTCAGCTATCTAACCAAATCTGAGGATGATGAAAATTCTCTAAATTGTGTATTAGGAACCCCCAACAGCTTGCTAGTATAGAAAGCCCTATAATACCATAAACAGAACACAGCTGAGCAGTGTGCCAATTTAGATGATGCTCCAACAATGCGAAGTTTATTGTTTTTGTTTCAATTTTGTAATGAAAAATTCTTGTCCAGAGAACTTCAACTAGCGATGGTTCAAGTGTTTGTGGAGAAGGAAAAGAGGAGAATCACTCAATTTCAAGAACAGAACTGCAACTAGAAGACTTCTATGGGACTAGCATATGCAAATTTATACCAGTAATTTGAAGTCAAAGGCAGAATTGAAATGGATGCAAAAATTACTTCTTGATACAGAAATACGTTCTTGCCATCTCTCCTATAAAATTACGTAACTATGTCCTGCAAGTTTACTCTATGTTAGTTTGAGGACGAGCTCAGATAGTGTTTGCACATGTGGCACTGGCATGTGATAGGAACAGGCATGGCTGGGTCTTGTGATAGTCCCTTCAGTTTTTTCCCAGTCTTTCTACAATTATAAGGCATATTAGCAGAGCTGATTGCTTACTAGGAAGTCAGCAAATTGTCTCTAAACTCTTTGAGGGAGAATAGTTGAAGCTTAGTTATGATAACTGTATAGATGCAGTGACTCCATTTCTGTGAATTAGTGAGTTACAAGCTTTTATTTATAATCATCAGTAGGAAGAAAAGCTTGGTCTTTGACCTGTCTTACTTTCTAATGTGCCTTCTGACTTGTCATAAAGATTCCCCATCAACTA